CTTATCTTTGTATTATAACCTGGATAGACCAACACACTGCACTGTGTTTTTATGAAATCGCAATGTGTTCAAGCATTTTTTCTTATAGATACAATTTTTAAATGGGTAATTAACATTTGTATTCAGCTTCTGACTCAATACTGTACAAAACAATGTGTTGCTTCAATCACAGCTCCAAGTCTTTGAAGTATATCTACCAGCTTCCCAAATCTAAGAGGTTGAAAATGCTTGCCTATTTTTCTTTGCTAAATAGCTCAGTTGGATTGAATGGAAAGCAACTTTGAACATCTAATTTCAAGCCTTTCCACAGCTTAAGTTTGGACTTTGACTAGGACGTTCTAACTCATGAATATACTTTGATCTAAATCAGGGTTGTCCAAAGTCGGTCTTTTGATCTGTGACAAAATGCGAAGAAGTTCAGTTGGTGTGTGTGCTAATTATTGCAACATGTGCAACAAAACAAATACACACCTTATTACAATTGTGCTCAGTTGATGTTTGGTATAATGAGACTGTAGTCATTGTTAGGGTTTTCTGTATAGTGTGAATTTGGTTTGAGGTAGATCTTAGTTTACTGAATCTTAAACTCTTGATATGCATATTATCTTCAAATCAATTCAGTTTGCTTATGCAGCACCAGTTCTCTGTAAAGATCATGGTGCAGCCATAGTGTTTTGTGAATATGGCGTGACAAAGCTCTTTGTTTGCAGTATTTTTCATTAGAAAATTACTTGGCTCGGCTGCGTATCACAGCTGAGCAGACTTTGGTGGAGAGTTTGCTAAGAATGAAAAGCTCATTGTTCAGCTGTTAAACACTCTGCTTCCAGCATAATCTGTGTTTCTTCAATTTGGTAACCAAACGTGTTGGACTCAACCGAATAAGTGTTGATGCTGGTCAGATTTGGTCTTTGATTTTGTGCCTTAATGTTTACAGGAAATATATCATCTCTTGCAAGCAAACCCAAGTGCCTCTGTCTGTGCCCTGGGATCCAAGTAACCAGGTATCTTAGAGAAGCGATGAAAGCCCACCAGACTTGGTGCTCAAGCTCAGGAGTTCACTCAACCGTTTGGTTTTTCAGATGTACCTGAGCTACAACAACGTATCAGCCCTGAAGCTCATGGATACCCGGAACAACTGGGTCTTAACTTCAGAGAAAAATAAGGTCCGTGTGTAGTTAGCCAGGCTGGGATTAGCTTTACAACTTTCATTCTGCATTGTATTATTTAGAAGTAGGAAATGGTCAGATACAGCAAAATGTTGATAATATGAATTATATATTTTAAATGCAAAATTCCTTGTTGCTATAAAACATACATATTTATTCTACCACGTCTTTGAATAAGTCTGACCCCCTCCCCAAAAACATACACTGAAGTCATGTATTATGAAGTCATTTTACCCTGGGAAAAGAAAAGAATGGTCAAGGGGCATCATTAAAAGCCCAAAACTAAAAAGGCATGCTTGGAGTCTATGTAAATGTCTCACTGGCTCTGTACATGTTGATACCTTGAACAACTTCTGTTTATACATGTTGACAGGTGAGACTATACACATTGGAGGAAAACCACATGCTCTGTGTCAAGGTGGAGATGTACGTCAGCGTCCCAGCAGGGCAGGTGTTCCACCTGTTGTCGGACCTGAGGAGGAGGAAAGAATGGGACCGGCATTATGAGTCAGTAACACACACACACATTTCCAACATGGTGCTGTAAATACTGTAAATACAGCAGATGAAGTTTAGATTGTCCCAGTATCTGTCTTATCTCAGCCACCAGCAGTGGAGATTTACGGCTTTTGCACAGGATTTTTCATTAAGAAAACACTAACTTCCAGATGAACGCTTACTTGTGACATTACTGTCGAGTACTCAAAAGCCTGAAAACTTTTAATATGTTTCTAATAAAAATTTTTTGTCAATGTTTCAACCACAGGGAGTGTGAGGTGATCAACCAGGCAGATGAGGATGACACTCTTTATCGCGTGGTTACTCCTTCTGTCAGCAAAGGGGGCAAAGGGAAAGATTTTATCTTGCTCGCATCTAGAAGGAAGCCTTGTGATTCCAGGTGCTGCAAAATAACATGTTATCTTTTTCCAGCTCGAAAACAATTTCATAAGGTTGGCTGGTATTTATACCACAATTTGGCCCACGGTTGAGAAAAACTGCCCTGGATTGCTGTTTGTGAATTATAAATGTTAAAATCAATTAAATGGTGGACTCATTTTATTTAGCATTTTAGATCATATTTCTCACATTTCAGTTTCTAAAGAATGTTATTGCTATTTTTACTATTTCACATTTTTCTTCAATGTGTATTGATACAAACAGGTCAAATTCCATGCAAAATATAAAGTGCAAAGTATAATTTTGATAGCATTTTGTCAATTCATTTTTAAATGGTTCGTCTGCTGCAGTGCACCAAATGTTTAAATAATTTAAACAATTACTGGGTTTTGTTGGACAGCGGTTTGTCGACTCATTTGAGTAATAACTTTTTTTGTTGAATTCTGGCTCTTTTGTACCTCCATAGAATTTAACCTTTTTTTTTTTTTTTTTTGCTCTATATCTAACTGCATTATAGAATTCCATTTTGTCTCTCTCAGGGACCCGTACCTGATCGCTCTGCGTTCTGTCACTTTGCCCAATCACCCGCCTACAGAAGATTTCTCAAGAGGAGAGGTACTCTGTGCTGGCTTCACAATCTGGGAGGAGTCCAGTTCAGTCACCAAGGTTAGCCCAATGTCTGTGGCACAAGCTCTAATGCTTACAGTGCATTGTTGCAGGTATCGAAATTGATCATCCATTTTTTGTTTCAGTTCACCTACTACAACCAGGCCACACCAGGTGTCCTCCCCTACATCTCGACAGACGTGGCTGGCCTCTCCTCCAGCTTCTACAGCACGTTTTCCGCTTGCAGCCAGTTCCTGGAAGCCAACAAAGACAGCCTGGGTGCTCTGCCGCCTTCTTCATTTTGATTTAAAACCCCTCTCCCATTATCAGGACAGAGTAGCATTGTTTCACAGCTCTAATCCTGATTTCACACTGCTTTGGCGGTGCTGGGCTTAAAAGCCATTCTGAGATTATGAAGGTCTGCTAGTTTGTACTTTGCATAGACAAGTTGAAAACAGAAGCGCACAAATGAGTTTATGCTTATGTAGTTTTTGTTTCTAAGCATTATTTTTTGAAAAATGTGCAATTCAGATTTCTAGATATATTATTTATATTTTGTGAGCCATCAGTTCATACCAGTCCATTCGTGTTGTCAGATGGTTGTTTCACTGTGATTTGACACTGTAAAGAATTTTTTTTTTTAGATAAGGTCAAGTGTAATTACTTTGTCACTTTGTATGTTAATATATTTGACTTCAACAATAGGAAGTTTACATGTGGTTTTGGCGTATAACTTTGCTGTTTTCATTTGAGACAACAATGTATAATTTTGTAGAATTTCACTTGAACTGATTTTATTGTATAGACATAAGCTTTGAGGATAACATGTGTTGAATTGCTTTAAACAATAAATCTTTTAACGCTGTTGATTATATTCTCTGAAACTTTAACTTTGCATTCCTAACTTTCTTAAACCTCTTTATATAAAAGCTTCTGATACAGTTTCACAGGTCCAGGAGAGGAATATGAACTAGTTTTTTGTCTAATGCAAATCCACCTTCATAGAAAATGGGTGTAATTCTCAGTACAGTGTGAACACAGCCAAATCCAATCCTCTTAATGATTACAGGAACTAAATCTGCCCAGAATCAGCACACCACTCCTGCAGGATCACATCATTATATTTCTGTATTTTGAACTCATGTTTTACAACTAACACTTTCCTCTGGACTAGATAAAGCGCTAAACAAATACAGGCCATTTACCTATTGTTGGTCAAAAACAGAGAAATACATTTTTCAATTAAACTTTAAAATGGCGCATTAGGCAAACAAAAGCATTTTTTCCCCATTACTCATTTCTGTTTTCACACACTTATCCTGAACAAAGTTAAAGACAGGAGCAAGCTTATTACATTAAACAGCATGCACATGTCAAAAAACTAACAAAGTTATTTTAAATCATCTAGTTTTTTTCAGTCTTCATTTGATCTAATATTATTTCAAGCAATTAAGGAATTTTAGCTGGAAACCTTGGTATCATCCAAACAGTGTACACCAAGCTAAAATGATGTTTATTCCTAATCAATACAGCTAAAAGTGCAAATCAGTTTACAAAGGCTGCACCCAGAGCAAAGTGGATTCACTCATTATTGTGTTTGTTGTTGGAGGGAGCTAATTTGCTGAAATTAGGGATGGAGTCCACTTTGTGTCGGTAAATCGGGAGCCAGGAAAACCAGCCTAACAACATTAATACTAAAGGCAGTGGTCAGGATCACAGCAAATGCTGAGGGCAGAAAAATTGTACTGTGACTGGTAATTTGAAGCTAAAAATTTTATTATAGTTTTGTGGTTCTGTCTTTTCCTTTCATGTCAGACAAGAAATAAGCAATTCTGTACCAAAGAGCTTGTTACTTTTTTTTAAATTTTGAGACTTCCATAATTTTTATTCTTTAATTTCTAAAGAGACAAGCAGTGGCTTCCCCCTCCCCCCTTTTGTTTGTATGTTTTCTATTATTACATTAATTTTAAGAGAAATACATTTTTGCTTGATCTTGACCTATGAAACACTCAGGCTTTATTAAAAAGCTCTAAAGCTTATGAGATAAACCAGCTTTGGGGCAACACAAAACAGATGAGTTATTAAAAAGTCTACTTTAAGTCAGATCTTTAGGGATTTTGCTAATTTGACAGGTCATTTTTATGCATTCTATCATGATCAGGGACAAGAAGTGGCAGTAAACAAGGGGAATAAAACAGCCAATGCCATTCGTAAAGACTTTTGAAAACTACAGAGTTCAAGATGCAAAAGTCGGACTGTGCAATTTGTGCAAACTGTCTGTTTAAATATCACCAGAAAGAAATATTTTGGCGGCGGATTGGACGCGCGCATGCGCTGTAAACACAACTGACCACGTGATCAAACCCGGAAAAACAGAACTGACATAAACAGAATAAAGTCCCGTGAGTTCGAACTAAAAACAACATATTCGGCTCTCTATTGACTGTATTTAATTTACAGTAGAAGCGCCAGCATGAGCCAGGCCTGCAGCAGGAAACTACAAACCGCAACAAGAGAAAAGCTCAGGAGACTGAACTCGCTGCGTGGTGAGCTTAATTTTTCATTCATCTTACTTCGACTGGAGCTCAGTAGAAGTAACATGTTGGCTTTCCTGAAGGTCGAGAAGTTTTACCGGGTGAGTTTTGGGATGTCGTGGCTGTGACTGCTGTGGACGGGAGCCAGAGGGAAGCTTACGAGCTGCAGATCAGAGAGAAGGTTGAGAGGAAAGAGCTTCCCGTCGGAGTTCAGTACAAGGTCTTCTCGGATCCTCCTGGGTGCAAAATAGGTCAGTGAACCGCTGTCTGCGTTATTTTGTTGCACTCTTTTCGCTACTGTTCTGTAATGTTTAAAGTGGTATTGTTTTGCAGGAAATGGAGGCTCCACTCTGTATGCTCTTCAGCACCTGAATGACATCTATGGAAAAGCTCTGAGCAACATGAGAGTCATCCTGATCCACGCAGGTTACCTATATTTTTCTAACTAAAATATCATGCAGAATGTGTTGGTTTGGTTGTAGACATTTTTTGTGTACACCTTTCTTGAAGGATATGATAGGTTTAAAAATTTCGGTAACACTTTATTTGAAGGGGGTTGAATAAGATTGTCATGGCACTTTCATTAACATGACATAACACCTGTCATGAACATGAATAAGCCTTCATGAATATTTATGACTGTTGTCATAAAGCGTCATTCGGTAAATTATGACACTTTTAATACAAAGTTGACATTATTCAAAATGTCCTTGACATTTTGACAACTTGACATTAACCAAGAAATCATTACTGTTTAAACTTTACCTTTAATAACATAAAGTTACCTAATTTTTAAAGTCCAATCAGTAATACTTTTATAACAAATTTATATCAGTAATGATTTTTTGGTTAATGTCAAGTTGTCATAACAAAGACATTTTGAATAATGTTAACTTTGTATTAAAAGTGTCATAATTTACCGAATGACGCTTTATGACAACAGTCATAAATATTCATGAAGGCTTATTCATGATCATGACAGGTGTTATGTCATGTTTATGAAAGTGTCATGACAGTCTTATTCACCCCCTTCAAATAAAGTGTTACCAAAATTTCTTTTAAAAAAGAAGGGAAAAATAGTATTTTTTTTTCCTGAAGTTTTGAAAGATACATTGAGATATTATCAGGGTTATTACAAACATGTTTTTAGGATTCTAAGTGCTCTTAGAAAAGGATTTAATTGTGTGAAAGGTCCCATTCAGTTAAATCAGTTTTATTGGAGTTGGATAACCATACAAATACTGTGGTTTGGGGGATTCTTAGAACCACTTTTAAGTGATTTATTATTAATAATAAGAAAGCTAATTAACAAAGACAAGATTGAACTAGAGATGTGCAATATATCAAATATGTTGTCGTTTGTCATTGCAACATTAATGTGTGTCTTTATTCAGACTTGCCAATCATATGATTGGCCAAATGAATAGAGTCTCAATTTGCTATTTGCCAATATTTGTAGGTGGCTGTAGCACAGTTGCCAAAGCTTGCAGTGACAGATGAGGAACGAAAATTAGTTTTATTCACAACAGTGCAGTACAATTTAATCACAGTTATGTTTTTTTAATAGTGGATAGTTCAAACCTTGTTTTTGCAAACAACTCCGTTGTATGCACAATTTCTGTTCCTATATCACAGTTTATCTTTTCTTGTCTTTTCTCTCTTTTTGTTTTTTTGTCCGTCAGCTTCCTCCATAACGGTGGAAACGTGTCCCTAAGGGAAAGATGAAACTGTTTAGGAATTACAAAACTAAACACTGAATATATTCTCTATTGAAAGTAAATAATACAAAATATATTTTTAATAAATGTAGAATTGTATTAAAATAAAGAAAAACACCCACCAACATTTGTCACTTCCACATGTTGTACCTTCAGGTGGCTTCAGCCAGCGAATGCCCAGTGCCAGCGCTCTGGGAAAGATCTTCATGCCTTTACCGCTGGGGAACCCCATCTACCAGATGCTGGAGTTCAAACTGGCCATGTATGTGGATTTCCCATCACAAATGAAGCCTGGCTTCTTGGTGACCTGTGCAGACGACATCGAGCTCTACAGCATACCAGAGGAGGAGAGAGTCAGCTTTGATAAACCAGGCTTTACAGCTTTAGCCCACCCCTCCCCACTCTCTGTGGGAACCACCCATGGCGTGTTTGTGTTGGAGCCGCGTGAACGTTCCTCGTATCCGGAAATGGAGAATGCCTCCTGCCTGTGTTTTCTGCACAAGCCAAGCATCGATAAGATGCGGGACAGTGGAGCTGTTTGCGCGAATCAGAATGGCCTGTTTTCCATGTCTGACATTGAGTTTGTCTACACAGACAGCACCTATTATATGGACTTTAAGACTGCCAAGTCACTTCTGAACCTGCTGAATGAGTTGGGTCCGTTGAACTGTGAGATCGACGCATACGGGGACTTTCTTCAAGCTCTGGGGCCGAAAGCCACAATGGAGTACACCAAAAACACGGCTAATGTCACCAAAGAGGAGAGCGGTCTGGTTGAAATCCGACAAAAGATCTTCCATCTACTTAAAGGGACGCCCCTCAATGTCATTCTCCTCAACAACTCTAAGTTTTATCACATCGGGACCACCTCAGAGTACCTCTTCCACCTGACGGAGGACGAGGCGTTCAGGGGCGAGCTGGATCTCCTGTCATCTGCCTTCAGCGTAAATGCCAATGAAAACTTCTCTGGTTGCTGCATCATGTACAGTGTCCTTGATCCCAGTTGCTCTGTGGAGGCTGGGTCAGTGGTGGAGTACTCCAGACTGGAAACAGGGGTGTCCGTGGGTGGGGGGTCCATCATCAGCAGCTGCTGGGTGAGTCCAGGCCTCTGTGTGCCTGCTGGGGCTTTCATGCACACGTTATGCGTTACCCACCAGAAACAAATCAGTTTTGTTACCGTCTTCTTTGGTATCGAGGACAATTTAAAGCAAAGCGTGGCTTCTCCTACATATTTGGAGGAACTAAAGCTTTTTGGACTGGACCTTGCAAAGTGCCTGTCCCACTGGGGGATGGAGAACGAACGCCTCAGATTCTCAGGAGACGCGTCGAGCTGCAGTTTGTGGAACGCTTGCTTGTTTCCTGTTTGCTCCGAGCAGCAGAGCTCCTTCTCGGCGTCTCTCAGAATGCTGCAGGCCATCCTGAGTGGCTCCACAAGCCCCCCTCCCAGAGACGCAGCTCTGATGTCGATGCAGGACTGTTTACAGCGCAAGAACCTGGAGGAAATGCTGAAGCTCAAGAGGAGGCTACATCATGACATCAATGTCCAGCTCGGCATGTAAACAACCGTCGCTACAGACATTGAATTCATTTAGAGCGTTTCGCTTTGTTGGTGAAAGTGAATGTTTTGACATTTTGTAACTTTTTTTTCCTTTTAAAACAACAGTTTCCATAAAACCACAATGTGAGTCATGTTTTTTTTCTTACTTTTATGTGTGGGTTTACATTCATTAAATTGGAACAGTTCACAATTGGAATTGTGACAAACAAATTTGGTTGAGGATACTTTCGCTTTGTCATCATTAATTTTAATGGTCATAACACATTACTACTATTGCACTATCTGGTGCTGCTGGAACATTTGCCAACCTATTTGAAATGTTCTGTTAATTTCCCCCCCTTTCTGTGCCTGTTATTATCAAACGGCACAGAAAGGGCATTTTTGTGATATATTTTCTAAATTGTCATAGTACACCCCCACTAGCTGCTTCATTATACACTGCAGTCGATGTTATTCTGTGAGCATTTCAGTAGAATCAAGTCATAATGCTGTTAGAAATTCAAACCTATAATAAAAATGAATACGATTTTTCTGTCACGCATTTTGTCCTGTGTCCTTCTCCCCTGTTTGTCATGCTGTTTTTGGCGCTACTACTCACCGATCACATGCTTTGTTAAATACAGTCCATAGACGAACAGAGTGAAGGGAGATCGGTTGTCATAGTTGTGAGGCCTTCCTCTCAGAAGTGTTTATTTTTAGCTCTCAGCTATGATCAGTCTTTATCTGGACCGGGGCAATTGTGCCAGAGTGTGAGATTGTGTTCTTCTCTCACTGTAGTTCACAAAAAAAGAAAAGAAAAAAAAAAACTACACGGCACTTTTAAGAAAAGGCCAGTTCAATGGGAAACTACAAATCCAGACCATCTCAGACATGCACAGGTAAGGCCTTTTTTATAAAAAATGTAATCTTTGGATGTACAGGACTTGCTCCGCTTGTGTTTTATTCTGAGCTCTCATCTCACTGTTTACCGGAGAAACACAGAGGAGCTGCAGAAGCCTTTTACGTGTGTTCCACTGTTGGCACAATCTCTTATTTAAAGTTGTAAGCACGTCGCTTCACCTGTGTTACGAAAGTGACGTGAAAAGATGATCGTGTTTGTGACAAATGTGCTGTGAAGATGAGTGGAAGAAGAAAGTGGGCGAGTCGTACTCTGTGATCATCGAGAAGCTGGACGACGACTTCCAGCTTCCAGAAAGCGCTCTGGCAGACCTCCACCTTGCTTTCAGGTGACTCAACATCCCCATCCTTTCACACAAAAATAAAAGTGAATCTGAAAAAAAAAAAAAAAAAACAAAAAAAACTGCAACTTTGTTGGATGTCAGTCCCGCTTCGCGCTCTGTTGAGTTATGATTTTGGGACTGTGGTTGTCTGCGACGCAGCTCCGACGAGGCTTTCCAGAAGGTGAACGTGAACTACCGAACGGAGAAGGGGCTGTCGCTGCTGCATCTCTGCTGCGTGTGTGGAGGTATGCATGCCTGCTGGAGTCTATTAATAACGCCTCTGCAAAATGTGACAGTGGATGGCAGGATTACTGTGGCGCCCATTGACCTTATTGTGTGCAGTCGACCGTTCTGTTGTCTGCAGCAAAAATTAAAGACAGGTGGAGAAATGAAGCGCGGAGAAGGGTTGATTAAATTTCTTTACTCCGTTCTGTGAGATTTTATTGACTAAAGTATCGATTAATTAGTTTCCCGTGTACCCAGGAAATAAAGCTCACACGCGTACCCTGATGCTCAAAGGCCTGCGTCCTTCTAGACTCACCAGGAATGGCTTCACTGCCCTCCACCTGGCTGCTTACAAGGTGAGGCAACTTGTGCCCTCTGTCTTATGTTTATGAATTTGAAAACTTTTTTTTAAAGGCTTACCACATGGTGGAGCTTAAGTGCTTAAAAAAAAGATGTGGCAGCTGCTTCAAAGTGGATATATTTGACGATAACCTTAGGAGCACAAGACATGTGCTAGTTCTTGGTGTGTTTTCTGTGCTGCAGGACAATGCGGAGCTGGTGACTGAACTCCTGCACGGGGGATCAGACGTGCAGCAGGTGGGATACGGGGCCCTCACTGCTCTGCATGTTGCTACACTGGCTGGGCATCATGAGGTGAGACGAAGAGTCACTATCCTACATCTATCCCTCTCCGTTATAACTCAGGTGTCATAGTTTGTTGCGTTCTCTGAAGCCAGTAACACAATTCTGCAAGCTGGAAGAAAGACAGACTCGTATCAGCATATCTCTAACCCTATGGAAGTCCTTTTCAGCCACTCTAATGTGGGGAAAAAAAAAAAAAAAAACTAACTTGTGTCTCATCATACTAAGATACTATCTCATAATTATGACTTCACTATCTAATTTTATTGACTTAGCTACAGTATTTCATAATATTGAGATAGGGAATTTCAAAAGTATTTGTACATCTTGAATTTTTCAATATTCTATAAAATATTATTTTTTTTAAAAAACAAAAGCCTTAAGAAGAGTTGTTGAATTTGTTCCTAGTCCCATCATTTACTGCTAATAAAGTCAGCCATTAGGTTTTCAGAGAATGGAGGAGAGAGTGGAAAAGGTAAAAGCAGTGTCAATGGGTTTTAAATGTCTTTGCAAACACAGTTACTTTCTTTGGGCTTCCACAATGTTAAGTCTGTTAGAAATGTAAATTGCATCCCCTTGTAGTAGCAGCTCAGAAAAGCCTCCCTTATCAATTAAATAACACACAATCTACTGAAAACTTTACTAAACTAAATGCATTTTGCAAAACCTGCTCTGGTTCATGGTTTGTTTTGACATTAGAAGAACTTGGTAAACTCCATTTGCCTTATATCTGTATGAATGAACTTATTTTGATGTTCTCGTTTAGGCTGCTGACATCCTCCTCCAGCATGGAGCTTTCGTCAACGTTCAGGATGCTGTGTTTTTCACTCCGCTACACATCGCCTCCTACTATGGTCACGAGCAGGTTTTCGTCTCGCATTTCTTTGCAGAACATGAACTGAAACAAATATTTTTGCTCTCCTGATTTCCCCGTATGAACTCTGCCTTCTCTCCAGGTTGCAAAGCTACTGCTAAAGTTCGGGGCAGATGTGGACGCCGGCGGTGAGGTGGGGGACCGGCCGCTGCACCTGGCGGCAGCCAAGGGCTTTCTCGGCATCATAAACCTGCTGGTGGGAGACGGTAGCAAGGCTAACGGTGAGACCAAAGAATCCAAACTGATCTGCAAATTAAGCACCAGAAGTCAGAGTCATTTATTTATTTTTTTTTAGCTGTGCTGTGCAGCAAAATCAGTTTGGACCAGCATATTTCATCCTTCAGCAAATCACTTGGGGCTCATTTGCAACATGCTCAAGCAAGCGACAGTTGTTGAGCTTCTCCCACTGCTTGCTGTCTGTTAACCAGTGAATGCCCGAGACAACGAAGAACACGTCCCTCTCCACTTCTGCGCCCGCTTTGGTCACCATGAGATCGTTCATTTTCTCCTCGAAGGGAGCGGCGAAGTTCAGCCTCATTCCGTCAACATCTACGGGGACACGCCTCTGCACCTGTAAATGAAAACGCTCCACAGATCTGAGTCTTGCAACAGTTTGCTGTCGTCGACTCGATTTCTTTGTGTGAATGTGTTTAACCAGGGCTTGCTACAATGGCAAATTTAGTGCGGTGAAGGAGATGATACAGCTTTCTGGTACGGAAAGCTTCTTAAAGGAGAACATATTCAGTGAGACGCCACTTCACAGGTACAGACGGTGCAGAGCTGGTTCATGTATCGCCCGCTGAGCAAGCTGTGAGGTGGTAATAAATTTCTGCCTTATAATGCAGCGCATGCACTTACGGCAAAGACCTGGAGATGGTCAAATTCCTGCTGGGCCAGAACGCCATGAGCATCAACCACCAGGGCAGAGACGGCCACACAGGTGATCTCTCTGTTGCATTCAAACTGATGTGACTCTCTTTACCTCAGCAACAAAATCCAAACTCACATCCACACATTTAGCTCTCCACAGCGCCTGCTTCCATGGCCACATCCGCCTGGTGCAGTTTCTGCTGGACAACGGGGCCGACATGAACCTCGTGGCCTGTGATCCCAGCAGGTCCAGCGGGGAGAAAGACGAGCAGACTTGCCTGATGTGGGCTTACGAAAAAGGTGTGTGTTTGTAAAAGCTTTAAAAAGAATTCATGGTGCTTCAGCTTTTAGAATTTTTTTTTTCCTTGACTGGTTGGGTTTGTCTGTCTCATTAAATCCCATTAAGGCACATCAACATAAAGTGGAAGAATATGAAACAGTTCAAGGCAATATGAAAACATTTCTAGGACCCTTTCTGCAAAATGTCTATAAAGATCAACTAAAAGCCAGTGATGGTCTTCTCTTTGTGTTTGCCAGGTCACGATGCCATCGTCACCTTACTCAAACACTACAAACGTCCAGATGATTCCCCTTGTAATGAATACTCCCAGCCAGGAGGGGGTGAGAATTAACCCTGTTAATTGTCAGCTGTAATACAATCCTAAAATAATCTCCCAAAAAAAGCCTGATTTTGTACATTTTTCTTCCAGACGGCTCCTATGTTTCAGTGCCATCTCCGCTTGGAAAAATCAAAAGCATGACTAAAGGTAGTGAGCTGGAACGAAGCACATCACCCTGTCATCTCAGAGGGCTGCACACACCGTGTCTGTTGCCAAGGGAATGGGCTCAGATGCTAAGACACACACACACACACACACGCATGAGACAGGCTTCTTGTGAATTATCATACTGGGTAAAATTCGCTGTTGTCAATCCCACTTAAAAGAAAAGGTTTACAACAAAATGAGACTGTGTTTCTATGGGACAAGTTAACACACCAGAGTAAAATTAGATTTTTAAAAAAGCACTCAGATTAAAAAATTAACTAAAGCAGCATGTGTAATAACAGCAAATATGACACAGCGTATAAAGAGCAGTGTCTCCTGAACAGGTGTTTGGAATAAGCCAATGAAATTTCCAGCTCCCTTCACTATTGTCCGCAGGGCTCTTTTGCCTATTTTACTGCATTAGAGAGCAATCTCTGGTTGTTTACTGCTTAAAATTATAGTCAAATTAGTAATTGTAATAGTTCCGCTAAGGTTAAGCTTTTAACATCTATTAATATTTACATTGACAGATAACAGGCTTTCTGAGCTGTAACCATGAGGATAAAATGCAATCTAAGATTATTTGGTATAAGATTTTGTTTAAATAAATCCTAAATCATTGGCAGGTTTTTAGGTAGCCTGTAACTGGGACAGATAATTTAAATAAATCATTTTCTTCCAACTAGAGTGAATGAGTCTTTTTTTTTTCTTTTTATTGTTCTTCCAGAAAAAGCTGAAGTGCTCGTGCTCCGGGCCAGCCTTCCGTCTCATTTCCACCTTCAGCTGTCTGAGCTGGAGTTTAATGAAATTATCGGATCGGGTAAGGTCCATTCGTCTTTGTTTTTCCTGACGGCTAATGTGCTCGAAAATCTGATAATGCTATTGATGAGCATATGCGTTACATCCGCAGGCTCCTTTGGGAGAGTCTA